TTGTTCTCATTTTTCTGTAATTTTGAAAAACTTTTCAGAAGAGAATTCTAATGTTCCACCAGTTATATTTGATGATATCTTAAAAAATAATTAAGTCATGGTTCCACAAATTTCTGAAAAAGAACCAATCCTATTCACTATGTCGCAGTTTGTCAAAATCACAACAATATTTTCAGCACTATTGCGTTATATCTCAACATTTCGCAGTTTGCATGTGCGTTTAATATGACCCCCATCACTCCACATACACTTTTTCACATCGGTGAAGAGTTCCATTTTACTCCAAGAGTGACGTCCACGATCCATGTAACTCTCGATTTTCATCGGTAGGGATGTTTTACATAACGAAGATTGTGTGTGACGGGACATTCGATTGCTTATTTCATCAACTTCGTCGGCAGTCTTTCTAGCGGTTTCCGGTGGTTCAATGGTATTTAAGGGATAAGCTGGATGTCTCTGATATCCTCTTTGAGTTTGACAGTACCAATGGGAATTTTTTGTTGACATGTCGGATTATTTTCCAATTGAAGTCCTTCCACAAGAATTGATTGTTTCCAAAGACTATTCTGAACTTTGGCTAAAAGAATATCCTGCAGAACTTCTGAAACACAGACAATAATGACTGTATTTGTGCATATAGAAAGTATTTTTGTTGTTTATAGCTTCTATGACGACTAAATACTAGTCCAATACGATAATCCACCTCTAACGATATAATCTTATGGTCGATCCGATAATCTTGTAATCTTTATTAACGGTATTGAGGCAAAAAAAAACACAAATCTTAAGTGATGGGAAAGATATTAATGGTCATTCCCATTTTTATACAATATACACACGGTATAAAATGGATCACAACTGATGTTTGGGGTCCTATACCAAGGGCATTATTATATCCTTATTGAAGAAAATGAGGCCCTCTGTCAACTATGAGGGACCCTAATATGCGAAAATTACTAAAATCTTTACTGTAGAGTAGAGGACAGCATAGAACAGATGTTTTTAATCCGACAGGTGATTAACAGGCATTATGGTAACTTGACTTACAGAGGGATCTCAGAATGCAGGAGAGCACAATGTTAAAAACAATTCCCGGAGGAGGGTTCCCTACCCACCTACATCCACTGGCCCCCAATCATCTACTTGAGCCACTGCTCAACCCATGGCGGGACCGACCCCTGGACATGACCTCAAGAGTTACAACAACCAGAATTTGGACATTGTTACTACGTACCCAGCCTATGAAATTCCTTTTAGACCGACAGCCAAGGGCAGCATGGTCAAATGAGTGTGGGATCATATAGAGAATGATGGGACATTTAATGAACTGGACGTCTGCAAGGGACCTGCTGCGTTTATTCCCTGGGGACCCCGAAATAAGGCACCAAAAAATACGCTAGATAAAGATAGACCGGTATCTAATGAGTTGATAAAAAGCATTTTGGGCGAATTGATAGCAAAGGTCGTACGAATATCACTTACCTGCAACTTAACTATTGGTTCTAATAAACAAATCTCGACATGAAGTAATTTATTGAATAATTGCGGAAAATCGAATTTGTCATTTAAACATAACGTGTTATTGTATAATGACACCTACAGATAAAAACTAAGCTAATATGATATTGAAGCGCTTGAATAATCACGAAAGACAAAGACTTGTAATACCCATAATTACAGTATTATATTATATAATATTCTATATGGAAGTCGTTTGTGGCCATAAACCACTCTCCCTAGAAACAAATATACTAGATGTAATTGCAGGCCCATAGCCAGACTTGTTCGGAGGGTAAATCCGAAGGGGAATTGATGTATGGCGTAAGTTGCAGTAATGGAATTGGTCGCTTGTCAGATTTTTTGTCAGGGTGGAAATGCTTTTTTTTTATTTTGCCCACCAGTAACTACGGGCCTATGTGTTTGTATGTCTATTTAATGTGAGAAAGAGGTTGGGAGCCGACACCGGACCAACTCTTGGAAACACAGACCACGGACTCAGAAAGCCGGAGTTAGTGAGATATCATACAGTCAATTTAGTATTGAGACGATTCTCCACGAATGCATTGCTCTATGGGTCACAGCTGACAATAGAAATGTTTCCTTCAAATCCACAAAAACACTAATATAGATGAGACATAGACAGTCAAAGGGGAATAACTTCAATAAAAATACAGATTCTGTTCATTCCGATCGACCGAAACAACTTAACGGGTCGCATTTTGTCAGTCTAACTAGTTTATCTAGCAGATCGCTTTGTTTGTGACCTTGGCCAGTGCTTTACATAGGGGTTTGCAAAACTTCTGTAGCATACTCTGGTGGTTAAAATTTTATCAATAATATGAACGAAGCGATAGCTATAGGGACAGATGCGCATTTTTTTTTTTACCAATTATAGCTACCGCAGTCTCAGAAATTTGACTTTTCTAGTTAAGTCAATCAGTAATAGGGCGAAACTGTAACGGTAAATGCGCAAAACTATGTCCTATGCCTTTAATAAAGGCTACCATACTGTAAAAACTTAAACCATAAGTTGCCAATGTTAATATTAATTTTAGAGTATAATGTTAGGACCCCAATAATACAGACATGAATACCAATCCCGAGAATATCTAATTATCCTTGATGTTTACGCCCGTTTACAATTCTTTACGACAGTTTACGTTATTTAGTCACACCACATCAGGTTCTTTGGACTGTGTTGACTTGAACTTTGTCCTTTTACGTGTGTAGGGCAGTATTAAATTATTATGGCTTCTGACGATGTTTTAAGAGAAGGTTTGTATAATATGCTGTAGTCATCAGCGCCGTTAATCCAATCACTTAGGCTATGCAGCATCAAGTGCCTGTCATTTTTGTCCTAGTTTTCTGCAACTGATTGGTCGCACCATGCATACACCATAGAGTGTGCAATGAGAGATATTTTGCTAAGATAGTGGCATTAGCTTGCTTTTTTTTCTAGGTCTGCATATTAAGATGTAGGCCTACCATAACCCACTATTGTTCATTCATGTAATGTAGTAACCTATCTATTCAATATAATATAGGCCTACTAATAAAGTTCACATAACAACAACCCATTGACCCACAGAGTTATATAATAAGTTAAAGGGACAGGTTTGCCATTTTTTTTTTTTCGTCTCAGAAACAGGAATATTTTAGCTGAGCCAATCAGTAATAGTGTTCAAAGCTCAACGTCGAAATTTGAGCCTAAAAATCCATGTGTATCCTAAATTATCTGCAATTGAATGTATGAATGACGACTCATCAATTTAAGATACTCTGTGATATATAGAAAAAAATATATAGAAATAGTGAGTAAAATTCCTAGTTTGAAGTATATTTGAAGGAATTATGCGATTTTTGTACATTTCTAATACTTTTAAAAACTATTTATATATATTAAAGATTATATTATATTCAAAATTTCTGAGTACAAAATCTGAGCCCCAGCATCAATTCACTCTGACTGGTGGATTGGGATTGGGAAGTTACCAACCAACAATTATTGAAATCACCCTCAGTAAAAATTATTGTTTTTTTTTTATTTAAGGGGTACGTCAGAATTTAGCTGCCTGGATTAATAAGTTAGAGTGTAATGGTAATGTAGAAAAGCAACATGAATTTAAAAAGAAATTTATTCACAATTTAAAAACATCAGCCATCGCCATAGAAACAGATAAAGCCAATGAACAACATTACGAAGTTCCAACAGAATTTTACCTCACTGTAAGTTTCATGTGGGGTAAGGCCTACCTCAATTTCATCTCATTATGTAAGGAAGAATGAAAAGACTATATTTTACAAGGATAACAACTTAGGTTCACAGTTAAGGATCCTTTCTACCTTGACCAAACCTCTTGGCATTGATCTTTCCCTGATTATCTCTACCCAATTACAGCCGGGTCGACTGGAATTATGATTGAAGATGACTTATTCAAGGTCATCGGACTTTCACATACTGATCGAGATGGGAACCCACAGCCACCATTATGATGCCATGTTCAGAACCACCCCTCTAACCAACTGTACTATGTATCTGGGATAACTCATTGAATTAATCTTGATTAGATTTAAAATGCCTGTTATTTATTATAAAGTGTGATCTATAATAGTGGTGGGTATCGTGCGGAAAGCAGACCATGCTTACCCTTTTTAAAACACCTGATGGTACTTCTCTTTGAAGTACAACAATTTTGCCATACTTTAATTGGAAGGGCTAGGTTTTTTTTTTATCATATTCCTAATGTACAATTGGAAAAACAATTATTGAAAATTTAACAAGGTTTACTGCTAGAGAACAAAAATATTCACCAAAAAATCTATTACTGTACCCAAAGAAAACAACCCAAAACACACATACCTGTAACTGAATTTCTGAACTCTGAAGAAAGTATAACCCATGTATCACCACTCTTTTAAAAAGTGAAGATAAACACTTAGTTTGCTATCCAATGTCCAAGTGGGATTATAGAGAGCAAAAATAATGAAAACTGACATCAACTCACTGGACTGACTACCCTTAAAACAGTTCACCCATTGTCCAATGAGACCAGTTAAAGCCAAAGAGATAGATAAGATGGCAAGTAAGTAAGTAAGGAAGTGATAAGTATTAAGGTGCTCTTTAAAGGGACAGTTAGGCCATCTTTTTGACCAGTCATACTTCAGTCTTAGATATTGGAAATTTTTTAGCTGAGAAAATCAGTACTAGTGTTCACAGCTCACTGTCAAAATGTGAGTCTCCAAATCCATCTGTGTCCAGAATTATCTGCGTTTGAATGTTCTTCTGGAGACTATTTACATATATTCAAGACTAAAAATCAAACCCCAAAATGACATCTGTCCCTTTAAACTTAAAGCTTTATTATAATACCAAATTTGATTAAACAAAGACTATATCACAGTAATTTATATTAATGCAGGTTTTTAATCTGTGTGAATTTTACTTAGAATAATTCATAATCTCAGGCCTATGTACTGGTACATTGACTGGAGTAAATTGTAAACCCATTCAATATCAACTTTTAAGATTTTAAAGGGACAGGTGTACCATTCTGGGGGGTTGATTTTAGTCTTGAATATATGTAAATAGTCTTTAGAAGTACAAGAAATGTACGCCAATAATGTAATTCCTTTAAAAATACTTCAAACTAAGAATTTCACTCATTATTTCTTTATATGTCTTTTCTATATATAAATTGACGAGAGGGGAATTTTCAGTCCAAAAAATAGAGTCATTTGTGTGAATTTTCTGGGAGGGAAGTGTGTCTATTTTAAATGTAAAAATCACTGAACCTTATTTTTTTTATGGACCCAAAGACATTCTATAACAAATAGTAAACAGTTGAAAATTTTATTTTGAATATTCATGAAATGAGAGAAAAGAATTCACTTCTAAACTCAATGTAGTCAGAGAGTACAAATCTTTACTTTTTTTTACTCTGGGATGTCATTATTCCATTGTGCCTGTTTCTAATTTTATATTTAATTCTTATATTTGTGTCAGCTGAATTGAGCTGATAAAGTAATCATTTAGATCCATGTAAGATTTCTTCCAAATCTATTCCTCCCCAAAATAAATCAGTCATTTTGAAACGTATTTCCTTTGAAAAATAATTTAAAGATAAACCATGAATGGATATGAAATCCTATTCTACCTATCGATATAGTTCAATGTGACCCCCCGGTTTCGAATGACGTCAATTTTAATCGTAGATCACATTGCCTTCCATTTCTTCCCAGGTCTGACGATTCCTCTTCATTTCCCACCTAGCAACAATTCCCCCATGGTCTTCCATTTCCTCTTTTGGGGAGAAATTCCTCCGTTGTTGAGAAGGACTGATTTCATTTTGGTACCACCCATTTTAAGAAATGTTGATTTGTTTCTAGGCGCTGGGGAAAAGATTAAAATACAGTGGTTGTTACTATCCAGAAGGTGTAACTGATTTAGATCAAGGTTAGTGAGAACTGATGTGGTGCGCTCATATTCCAAATAAAATGGACATGCAACTAAAATGTAATGTGAATTATTAAAGAGATTGTAAAGAGGTTTTTTAAAAAATGTATGTGTATAGGGGACAATGATAGCATCAATTTGAACCATTCCAATTTACAATCAGACATTTGTGGTTCTAGGAATTGTACTAAAACTAAGTGTTTTATGATGTCAATAATCACAATATTTGCTTTATCTCATAAGCCCCTTTGAGATTAGTTTTAGTGGAATTGCAGGAACCACAAACTTCTATTGGAATGTTGCAAATTGATGCTATCAGTGTCCCCGATACACAAGAAAAATGTAAAAAAACGCTTTAAAATCCCTTTAAGCACCAGGAGTTATATGTCAGCAAATGTTAAAATAAAAATCTATTTTCAACTAAAAACCATTATCTAAACAATTCCTGTATCTGAGACTATAAAGCTATGATTATCATACCCGTTTACCAGTGGCTCAACCAGTATACAAACTAGTTGAACCATGTCCATGGGCCAGACCCATAAGGGGGCCTGACCCCCAGAAAAAAATATTAACAGGTATTGAATTGACTAACAGAGGGATTCAGAAAACAGGAGAGGATAATGTGAACAAAATTTCTCCGGGTTATGGGCCCCACTCATATAGTTGAGCCACTGTTGTTTTTGGCTATAGCAATTGTAACTTTGTCCTGTTACTTTCAATTTCAGCTGAAGAAATTACATTAAAACAGTATTGTGAACGGGCCAAGATAGAAGATGGTCAAACTGTGTTGGTGAGAAACTGTTATATGTGCTAACCATCAATTTTTCAGTTATTATATATTTTTGGCAAAGTTTCTGGAACAGATGTTATGTTGTCAAGGTCTTCCCTTGATTGATGTAAGGTCTTCAGATTGTATCTAGGATTAATCACCAACCAGAAAAATAAGTTCAATAGAAAAATCTATAATTACAAGGATAACAACATTGGTTTTCAACATTGTTACTGCTTGTTCCATACCTCTATACATGTATCTGGGTCTTGTTTCTTAAAGGGATTGCAAAGAAGTTTTCTAATTTTGTATGTGTATCGGGGACATTGATAGCATCAATTTGCACCATTCCAATTTTCAATCAATGGTTATTGCAATTCCACTGAAACTAGTGTTTCATGATGTCAATAATCGCAAAATATACTTGTATCATAATATAAGGCCCTTCTCAATTAGTGAAGTCACCAAACACTTAGTTTTACTGGAATTGCAGGAACCACACACAGACATCTGATCGCAAATTAGAACTGTCTTTTGTCTTATTTTCTCCTTCAAATATTTTGTAGGATTTGGGTTGTGGCTGGGGATCATTTGGTCTATATGTATGTGAGAAGTATCCAAGATGTCATGTGACTTGTGTGTCCAATTCCAGTACCCAGAGAGAGTATATCGTACAGGAGGGTGTAAAGAGAGGTTATGGAGATCGTCTAGAATGCATTACTAATGATGCTAATTATTTCAACACAGCTAAAAGATTTGATAGAATAGTTTCTATTGAGATGTTTGAGGTGAGACATAGCTTCAGATTAAAAAGATGGACAGCTACAACTTTTATTAGCACGATTTTGACAACAAGTAATAGCTTATGTTAAAGGGACTCATGCGTAGTTTTTTACCAATCGTACCTTAGTCTCAGAAGCAAGAATTTTTTAGCTAAACCAATCAGTAATAGTGTTCACAGCTCACCTTCAAAATTTGAGCCTTCAAATCCACATGTGTACAGAATTATCCACATTTGAAAGTTAAAAAGACGAGTCGTCTTTTCTTGAGACACTGCCATACATATAGAAAAGACATCTATAGAAATAGGAAAAGAAATTCCATGTCGTTTGATTTTTTTTAGTTTTTAGCTAAGGCAATCAGTAATAGTGTTCACAGCTCAATTTTAGCCTTCAAATTCATGTGTGTACAGAATTATCCACATTTGAAAGTTAAAAAGACAAGTTGTCTTTAGAAAAAGGAAAAGAAATTCCATGTCGTTTGATATATTTTGGTGACATTTATTGATCAGTTTTTTCAAATATTAATTCTTTTTGTCTTTCACAGCATATGAAGAATTATGAGTTGTTATTCCAAAGAGTGTCCACATGGTTAAAACCAGCTGGGTTGTTATTTATACAGATATTATGTCATAAGCAACATGCGTATAATTTTGATACCAAGAAGGGTTCTGACACAGAATGGATGGCGAAGAATTTTTTCTCTGGTGGGACAATGCCCTCTGTTGATTTATTTCTTTATTTTCAAGTGAGTCTTATTATCATGGATTTCTATCTAGAGAATTTTAAGGATGAAATTAATTTTAGAAACATGTCGAAACTTTACAAAAGTGTATATCTAGAAATTTTGCAGATATTTACCAACATGTAAATCTAGAAATTGTATGAAATTTACAAACATATAGATCTAGAAATTGTACGAAATTTACAAACGTAGAAATTTTACAAACAAGTAGAAATATTTAGATCTAGAAATTTTATGAAATTTAGAAACATGTAAATCTAGAAATTGTACGAAATTTACAAACGTAGAAATTTTACAAACAAGTAGAAATATGTAATTCTAGAAATTTTATGAAATTTACAAATATGTAGATCTAGAAATGTTACAAAATTTATAAACATGACTAAATTTTATGAAATTTTACAAACATGACTAAATTTTATGAAATTTTACAAACATGACTAAATTTTATGAATTTTACAAACATGACTAAATTTCATGACATTTTACAAACATGACTAAATTTTATAACAATTTACAAACATGACTAAATTTTATGACATTTTACAAACATGACTAAATTTTATAACAATTTACAAACATGACTAAATTTTATGACATTTTACAAACATGACTAAATTTTATAACAATTTACAAACATGACTAAATTTTATGACATTTTACAAACATGACTAAATTTTATAACAATTTACAAACATGACTAAATTTTATAACAATTTACAAACATGACTAAATTTAATGACATTTTACAAACATGAAGATCTAGAAATTTTACATTTTATAAAATTTACAAATGTAGACATTACCGATGATAACAAAAATATTAAAACTTTTGCCTTTTTATCTTCAGAATAACGTGTCAATAGTAGAAAATTGGATTATAAATGGAACTCATTATTCCAAGACTCTAGAAGCCTGGCTAGAAAAGATGGATGCCAACAAAACAAAAGTGAAAGAAATTTTTACTAAAGGTTATGGAGAGGAGGCAAAGAAACAGATTTTTAATTTTAGACTTTTTTTTATTTTTTGTTCGGAAGTATTTGGATATAGAGATGGCAATGAATGGTTGGTTGCTCAATATTTGTTTAAGAAAAAAATTCCAAGTGCTCTTTGAATATGTAAAGGCAGCTATGTTGAATAAAATTTGTTAATTATTACTAATCTTTTTTCTCATAATGTACTCTCTTGTGGGCCATCCCATTCAGACTTGCTTGTAAATTTTGGGTGGCATTGTTTACAGTTTAAAACAGTCAAGCAAAGATATTCCTGAAAGTCCAGGTACCACAAACGCAGCAATACACATACCTTCTTTTGAGGCAGTGTCCGTACCAGTAGGGATACAGGGTGGGTACCTGCAATTAAGAAATGTAAGTTTTATGCATTTTGCCACAAAATATGCATCCGATTGCACCGAATCCATTTTATTTTTCCAAGATTTTATTAAGGAACCCTCTAAGACACTCCATGGCAAGCTTGCACCTAAAGCGTTTCCACAGAGCTCAACCTTGGCAGTTGTACCCCTATTTTGTCAGTCTCGCCCCTATTTGTAGCCCCAGTCTCGGAAGGCTGGCACCACCACCACTGTTTTGAGGTAGGTAACATAATTTAATTCTGGACTCAAAATATCGCAAAGTAATTGTCAGTACCTGTTCTGCCCTAGCCACTAAATCTATGAAAATTGTATACCAAAATCTAGAGAAATGTGTCCCCAAGCTTAACTTAGCTAAAAAATATTTTGCTTCTAATTTTTGGAAAACCAATAGCATATCTTTTACATAAACTTTGTCACTATGTTTTTGATCATCAAAAACTGATGTACAAATTTTGTAGATAAATATTTCTTCTACAAGTACTGATGGTTGTAACAAAATATTGATTGAAAAATTGCTTGTGGTCTGATCTACCTGACAACGGAAAGCCATCCGCAAATAATTTCAAAATGATAAATTGTTTGTGGTCTGAAACAAAGGGGAAGTGATCCATTGATGAGGGCGCTCTTTTCAAAATGGAAGACAAATAAATCTAAATTTCGCCTAGATTTCTAAAGGTAAGGATTTTGCTTTGTAAAATCATTTTGCATAGATGACATTACTGAATTTGTAAAACCAGTGCAGGCGCCTATTTCTATAACAGATGATAAGTTTACCACCGACTCTTTTTGAATGGAAAACCTAATACTTTTGTGAAAGTTGACATTATTTTGTACATGACTGACATTGTTGATGTTTGTCAACACAACTTAAGTTGTGACAAGAACTCCAAGAATATAGTTAAACACAGATATTTTTGCTCATCTGAGTTCCGTCAAAGCATAGACTGAACACAACTAGTCTGTCCATTATATTTTGTAGGGTAGGCTATTGTAAAAGGTATGGCATTTAGAGGGTTTGACTAATCGCTCAATGTGATTAAAGATTAAAATGAGATAATAAAAAAATTCTGCAAAATTCACATTGCTTCCAACAATTTCAGAAGCTTATTCTGTTTGATAAAATAGATATGAGCTTTTTGAAAAAAAAGAAATAAATCATGCTGAAGGCTGAAATACAAGTCCATTCACACAGTTTTAAAATTTTGAAATTGACAACGAATCAACAAGAATATTTCTATAATGAATGCCTAATTGTTGTTCATGTAGGACTGGTTGTGATGAAGGTTTTGTTCAAAACTAACCATTGCTGTTCAAATCATCTATTGGCGATTGCCACAGACTTTTTGAAATGGCTTACGCGATTCACTGATATATCGTGCCAGCGCTAATGGTGATAGGCCTACAAGTTTTGTGTACAAATAACCTACTTTGATACACATGATATTCTATGTCCACTTATCATAATTAGCTGAAAACGAATAAATTGTATTTGATTCAACAGGTATGTTAGTAGTCAGTTCTAAATAAGAATACACAATGAATATAGATGTAATTGAAGACCACCATGATGAACATCCTTCCCCTACTCCAGATTCTACTGTATCCTCACTCACAGGATTTCTCTTTGGTAATATTGGCAAAGAGGGAGAGTTGGAAGAAGATTTTCTTGATGAGGTTTGTTGTTTAACTTTAAATAGATTCTCAAATGACAGATCCTTTCTGTAAGTTTTTAACTGTTTTTCATAACACTTGGCATCTATTACAGTCAGCGTTAACAGTATGTGATAATTTCAAAGTTACTCCACTGCACTGAGCCCGAATAGAACTTTTATGAAACTTGAAGCTTTGATAGGTGTTTCTGTCTTCAGTCGGAAATGCATATTGAAATATAATAACATAAAGAGTTGTGATGTATGGCCGGATTATTATTTTAGGAATCTAAAAGACATCTGGGATCTTTAAATGATCTAGGAGGCTTGAGTTCCATGGTGAAAGAAATCACAGAAGATGGAGGCAATGATAGTTTCTCTGCAGAAGATACAGGTTTGTACAGGAGACAGAACTAGTGCTGGGTATCGCTGATCATGCCTCATTACGATGCATATAGCAATACACAGTCACAATATGATATGTATTGCGATTTGGGGTTTTTGGATGAAATTAACTTTTTATCTTTAAAGTTTCAATATATAGGGGTGAAGGGGAGGTTAAATGGCCGCATCTGTACAGCATGTATGGAATTGAAGGTTAAATTTTCGAATATTTGGAAAGTATTTGGACTTATACTTTAATGGGACTTATACTTTAATGGGACAGGTGGACAATTTTTTTTGACAAATCATACTTTAGTCTCAGAAACAGGAATATTTTAGCTAAGTCAATCAGTAATAGTCTTCACAGCTCACCGTCGAAATTTGAGCCTTCAAATCCACGTGTGTCCAGAATTATCTGTATTAGAATGTTAAAATGACGACTTATCAAAGTGAGTAAAATTCCTAGTTTGAAGAATTTTTTTAAAGGAATTAAGTGCTATTACGTACATCGTACTTCTGAAGACTATTTACATATATTCAAGACTAAAATCAACCCTCGATAATGGCACATCTGTCCCTTTAACGTATGAGCAAAATAAATGAATGAGTGTGGGAACGAGTCATAATGGGATATTTCAACAAAAAAAAATGATATTGTTTGTTATTACATCCTTCAGATTATGATAAGAAATCACCTACTGCAGTAGATTTCTCTGATATAAATGAAGCAGTAGAAGAAACAGCAGAAGAAAATAGAATAAGAGAAGCTATGGGAGGATTTACTATGACTAAGAATGGTATATGTAATTTTAATAAAAATTCTTAGTAATAACTGATATAACTGAGATCTTTGCCTACAAAGGAGTGGTTTTTTAAGTAGTGTTGTAAAGTTTTTCGTGAAAATTATAGACCAATATCAAGAGATATATGCCTCTTCTTATCTGAAAGCTTTAAAGATGGGTTCCCCTATTTTCATAAATGAAAATGCTAATACTTATATTATATTGTTATATTTATTGGACAGTTTTGATCATGTTAAAATTTCATGATATTTCTTTAAGGCTTGAATGAATTATTGCCCTTAAATCATCATGATTTTATTTTAGATGAGGATGATGATTACGACACTGATACTAGTGATAGGAAGTTGATGCCACCACCAGCATGGCTACCATCACATACTCACAGTTCAGATACCTCACACTTGACCTCACCTCAGAAAGGTCGTCACTCATCAGGAGAAGATAATTCTCCATCAAAAAATGCTCCATTAGCCAATATGTTACCGCCTGAAATGGAATCAGTTAGTGTAACAGATCTATTTCCTGAATTTAGACCCAATCAGGTTTGTAAGCTGAAATTATATACTGAAATTATATCAACTGGTCATAAGCTTTAGGTTAAGGACAATACTGAATACAAGACTGAGAAGTATTGCATTGAAATTGAACTAAGATTGACATGAAATAAACAAGAAATTTTCTATATTAGTATGAACATTAAAATTGACTCTCGAATTTAACATCAATCTTATCTATTTAGCAATATTGTCTTCTAAAATAACAGCAGAATTTTCATCTCTGCACATATATTCTTGGCACCCATGTCCATCTGTTGGTGCGTCAATATAACTTGCTATAGTATGTATATAGTCCTACATAATTAAACAATGGTGATCAAATTTGAATCTGGTGCTTTTTGATCATTCACCATCTTGATCTTAAAGTGATATTACGTCTTAAAATGAACATATAAGTTCTCAAGAATGGTCAATATGAGTATATCCGATTATATAAGGATTCTGTTATGTTATTTATGACACCAGGTATATCTACTGATGAATATATGCTCTTATTGGCCAAGTTCAAAATTCTTAAATTTTATATTCATTTTAAGACTATTCCTTTAAACTATAAAACTGCTAAAGGAAATATCAGTTTATAGTCAATTTCCATATAACTTGGTATGAAGATTAGATATGAAGAATTGATATCATTGGACAGTATTCAATGATTTTGTAATATAGTACTCTGCAGATATTGAAGATCAAGTGAGAATTTTTATTAAATGCTAATTCACAAATTGTGTGTCACTTCAATTTAGTTTTGTAAAAATCAACCCCAAAAAAAAATAAAAACAACCTTTTTCTAGGTTCTGCGGTTTTCACGCCTGTTTAAACCACACCATGTACCTCATCTATATAAACGTAAGAAGAAAAAGAAAGATGAAGAAGGTAAAAAAGAAGAAGTTTCTGGTGAAAAGAAAGAAGAAAAGAAAGAAGATCCAGAAATAAAGACTGAGAATGGTCTAGAACCTGCTGACCAACTGTCTGGTACTACAGTTCCTACTATTATTGAACCAATTAGTGAAATTAAGGTATGCCTTCAAAAGAAAGATGAAATCAAACTATTAGGAAATACATTCATGTGATTGGTTTATATAGCTAAAGTTTGATTGACTGACCAATCAGATGATTAGAAAATTAAACTAGAATGATTAGAATAGACAGTGGTTACAGCCTTTATTCTCTTTATTATGTTATTTATTGCTTAGTTACTAACAGTAGTGATTTTGAATATGTCATCTTTCTTACTATTCCTGTCTTATAGGAACTGTTAATCTGAGATAGATTACTGCTAGGCTAAGAAGCATCTGCAACAGGATCTCCAAGTAGTTTTTTTGGTATCTTGTCATTCTATACCTAAATGTTAAAGGCAATGATGAATTTTTATAGTTGGGTATAAACAAAACAGGCTTATGAAGCTTCCTGCGCAATCTAAATGCTCATAGGCATATCCAAGTAAATGAGGGGGTTTGCCCATTTTTTCTTTCAAGAAAATGAGATAATATTTTGATTTTAATATTTCATAGGAAGAGGAATCCGAAAAAGATGACAAAGATACAGTTAATGGGAAATCACCAGATAGTGGCATTGATGATTCTGATCTTGATGATGATTGTCCTATTAAACTAGAACTAGGCAGACCAGCTAAACCTGAAGAATGTTTAACTGATGATGAGGTTTGTATTATTGATGATTGTCCTATTAAACTAGAACTAGGCAGACCAGCTAAACCTGAAGAATGTTTAACTGATGATGAGGTTTGTATTAATGATGATTGTCCTATTAAACTAGAACTAAGTAGACCAGCTAAACCTGAAGAATGTTTAACTGATGATGAGGTTTGTATTAATGATGATTGTCCTATTAAACTAGAATTAAGTAGACCAGCTAAATCTGAAGAATGTTTAACTGATGATGAGGTTTGTATGAATGATGATTTTTGGTTCAAGGACTACATGTTGGAAACTCCTTTGTCTTATATTGAGCTACCTCTTTAATTGAATTTGGTGTGATCTAGGAATTGATGATGAAAGCAACAGAGTCTATTACATCCCGTGGAAAACAAGATGGTAATGCTGATACTGAACAGACCTATAACCTAGCTCCCTGGAGGTATGGCCCAGCACAGTACTGGTATGATAAGATGGGTGTTGATGAGACTGGGGAAGGATTTGATTATGGATTCAAACTCAAAGAGGCAAGTCAGCCAAGACTTTCTTTTTCTTTACATCTCATATGAAGACCAAATTCAACTCCATTGAAGTACTGTATAATTGTGTATATATTGTGCACCCTCAAGTAAATCTGGTAGATTAGTGATTTTGTAAGAAGTCTTAAACTGTTGCCATTGTAAAAATAAAGCTAAAAATTCATTTCTCTCTTTTCTGAGATCACAAATTTCATTGGTTTGAATTCAGTTAGTTATTAAGATCCATTTAAGACATGCAGGTTCAAATAGAAAATTGAACAGATTGCTCCTTTGAATGGTACAAATAGACTCCGAATTAATTTCTCTTTTTCTTCGTTAACAGAAGAAAGAAGAGGAAGAAGAAGAAAAGAAGGAATATCCAGATAAACCTAAAATGGTCTTCCCTGATGAAGCTTTTCTAATGATAACACAAGTACAGTGGGAAGATGATATCATCTGGAACAGTGAAGAAGCGAAACAAAAAGTTCTACAGAATCACAAACAAAGAGCAGCAGCTGCAGGCTGGGTACCTAGTACTAATAGTAGAACTGCTACTCAATTTGCTCAGATTAGTAAGTAACAGATTATTTTATACTTTTAAATATGATTTTGTTCTCAGTAAACACCCGGGGATAACTCGTAGATTCATGTTCATTTAGCATAAACTTGCATTAAACATCCAGTCAGCAGAATGCTCAGAATTTGTTGCCCCAAATGGAAAAAGTTTTTGTATAAATTAAATAATTGTTTTTATAGATAAGATAAGTAACAGTGCTATGTTAGGACCTCAAATCAGTTTAAACAAACCACTACTACCAGGACAAAAACCAGGTAAGAAACGGAATAGAGTTTTACATCCTACTTTGAAAAAGATACAAGTTTCACTAAGGTGGATGTTGATCACCACAAGTGTATGATATTATATTGATAACAACAATGTTTATAAAGTATGATTGGAGTGTATAAAATACCTGTAACTTATATTGTATTTTGATAACACCTTTTAAAGTGTATGATAGTATATTTGTAGAGTGTATGATATTGTATTTGTATGATATAATCTGATAACAAAGTGTTTGATATTATATTTGTAGAGTATGATATAATTTGATTACGGAGTGTTTAATGTTATATTTGTAGAGTATGATATAATCTGATAACAAAGTGTATGATATTATTTTGTTAAGTATGATATAATTTAATATCAAAGTATATGATATTATTTTGAAGAGTATTGTATAATTTGATAACAAAGTGTATGATATTATTTTGTAGAGTATGATATAATTTGATAACAAAGTGTATGATATTATTTTGTAGAGTATGATATTATTTTGTAAAGTATGATATAATTTGATAACAAAGTGTATGATATTATTTTGTAGAGTATGATATAATTTGACAACAAAGTGTATGATATTATTTTGTAGAGTATGATATAATTTGATAACAAAGTGTATGATATTATATTTGTAGAGTATGAGAGCTCCTGTGATACATGGTATTCCATATTTCCTATTGAAAATGAAGACTTAGTTTATGGTAATTGGGAAGATAATATTATTTGGGATTCAGAGGTGAGGTGAATTTATAAAGAAAAAATAAAATCAAAATGAATATTTTACGTGTCAATATTTTATAAATTGGAGCCTGGAAGTTTGATTTCAACTGACTTCTGGAATTGACAACTTATGTCATGATCTTCTACAATTCAACAGAAACCTTTTGTCACAGTTCTTCCTAATTTAAATTCTAAAGGAATTGAACATAAAATATTTAAAGCAAATATTTACATGACCACATGATTGATCAAATATATTTCATGCGTTACAATTGTAGAATATGGATAAAATACCCAGTCCACCAGTATTAACTCTAGATCCTAATGATGAGAATATTATATTGTCAATACCAGAAGATAGAGATCCTAATCAACCAGATGAACCAGCTAAAAAAGAAAAGGTACATTGTTCATTCTCTTTCCAAGATCTTGTTGTCTTATCTCAAAGCGAAGCGAAAGTATGATTGGAGTGAATGATATTATGTTTATAAAGTATGTTTGGAGTGTATGATATAATGTTTATAAAGTATGATTGGAGTGTATGATATAATGTTTATAAAGTATGATTGGAGTGTATGATATAATGTTTATAAAGTATGATTGGAGTGTATGATATTATGTTTATAAAGTATGGTTGGAGTGTATGATTGTATGTTTATAAAGTATGATTGGAGTGTATGATATTATGTTTATAAAGTATGATTGGAGTGTATGATATATTGTTTGTAAAGTATGATTGGAGTGTATGATATTATGTTTGTAAAGTATGATTGGAGTGTATGATAGTATGTTTATAAAGTATGTTTGGAGTGTATGATAATGTTTATAAAGTATGATTGGAGTGTATGATATTATGTTTATAAAGTATGATTGGAGTGTATGATATATTGTTTATAAAGTATGATTGGAGTGTAAGATATTATGTTTATAAAGTATGATTGGAGTGTAAGATATTATGTTTATAAAGTATGATTGGAGAGTATTGGAGAATTTGACAAAAGTTACATTTTTGAGGAGGTGCCTGCAGTAGCTGGGTGAATTACACGCTTGTGTCCTAACACAAGGGTTAAGGGTTCAATCTTTGCTTAAGTCCTTTCAATTTTCAAACTGTATATCCAGTCAATGGTCAGACAAGTTGACAAGGATAAATCCTATAATACTTTGTATAGGTCAAAAAATTGAAGCTTGTATACTTCAGGCTGTGCTTATCTTGCAACAATTGGAACCAAAAGAAGGAAGGCTTATGCAGCTGTCCTGATTAAATTTTCTCTTTTGCACACTTCATGGCATTGTTAGTCTTCATATATTTGCAGGAATTAAAGAAATCTAAGATATTATTAGGGAAAGCTGGTATAATCAAAGAGGAAGATGAAGACAAAGATGAGGTAAAGCAGAGATATTTGTTTATATGTTGTAATATTTTCGTATTAGGAATCATGGTATTTTATATTTTCTTCTTCAATACCCAATATCATTATGTGCCATGAGTCTTGATCATGTAGGTTGAGCAATCTAGGAGCATGCAATTCTTCCCTTAAACATACAAAACAGAGTGATTAAAGATTTGTTCAGATTGAGCTTGTGATTGACAGAATCTCAGAGCTAGTGGATTTTTAGACAGATACATCTGTCTGTCTCTGTTCCAGCCTCTGATAGCTATTTAGATGTCAGCTGGTGTAGAGACAGAAGAAATAGGCCCTGTTAAATGGGGACATTCCGCATCTCCACAGGTGCAGTGGTTTTAAACCCATTTAGATACTTCGCATCTGCATAATCCAAATATATTTGAAAAGATGAATATTTATTTGTTCAGTCATACCATCATTTTCTCCCTACACCATTTATGTCATGTCTCTGGTTCCATCAAAGCTTTTTTTGGTGAAACAGATCTAGCATTGGCCATTTAAAACTGTGTTCAAAGGTCACAGAGTCACGTGATAATAAAGCGAAAGTTAGGGGGATGCCCAACAGTAATATACAATCATCTTAATGGTAATTCAATATAACGTTAGAGAAAACACATGTTTGGAGGTGTGGAAAATCCCCATTTAACAGAGTCTTTTTTTTCTGACTCTGCTCCAGCTGACAACTTTCCAATTATATCCATCAGAGGCTGGCATAGAAGCGGATGTTTCGTACACTGTCACTGTCTACTATTGACTTCTATTTAAAAGTGCATCTTATTGTCAATCTGAACATTTAGAATATTTGATTGTCCATTCAATTGAAGAAGCTAATAGTCAGCCAAAATTTTTGAAAAGTAATCCTAGGAAAGGCTAGATCAATCTGAACCCACCTTTATGTGTACATGATAGTCATTCTTGAGACTCAGATAATATACATGCTAAAATATCCTGGGCTCAATCAACTAGGTTATAATATATGATTACATTGTTTATTTGCCTACTCTATTTTCAGTCATCAGTCACTATATTCTTTTATAAAGGCAAAATTTTGAAGCAGTACAATCATTTTGTAAATAACAATGTTCAATTTCAATAGAATTATTGTTGAGTTTGATTTTGTATATAAAGGAGCATACACATTTGTTGCTTCTCACACTTGTGTCAAAGTTTATGGTCTACCATCTTTTATGGAATGTCAGTCTTGTGGAATGGTGTGTCAGCATAGAGGGTGCAGCTTGCCTGGAACTGGAATTCAATCCTGGCATAGGACAACATGCTTACTATTTGATGTTATCAGTGATAAAAGCTCAAATGTGCTGATTTAAAAAAAGTATCTTTTTGTTCAAAGGGAAAAATTGTGAGATTACTGAATGTTTATGCTCCTTTAAATGATTAATTTTAAGGAATTTTTCTGATTTTAAGAAAGTTTGCCTGTCTTATTCTTCTCTTGCCATTGTTCAAAAATAATATTTATCAATCCTATTTTGAAATGCTTTGTTTTGTTTTATTTTATAATTCTGAAATTTTTCTTTACAAAAATGTAGCTCAAATTTCATACATTGTAATGTGATGTCTTGTCTTCTTCCACAATTCCTATTTAAAGATGGGTTCCCTTATTTTCATTGATGAAAATGAAAATGCTAATACTTATATGAATAGAAAGTAGAGGTGTTCTAATGACTTGCAAAAATACCAGTTTGTCTCACATGTCCATAATTAATTCATAATTAGCTAAATTAGAAGAGAATTACCAGCAGAATTCCAATGAGTGACAGATCAAGAAAGGTCAAAAAATCTTTTTTTGTTTATCCAGACTGCACATATATGGAAATTTATGATTGGTTAAAACTCTTAATTATATGCAATAAGAACATAATGATATGATTAAGAATATATGATAATTAATTAGAAACACCAATTAATCAAATATTTGGCTTAATTTGACACTAAAAAATAAGGAAACCCATAAAAAATAAGGAAACCCATCTTTAAGCTGTATATTCTTGTTAGAATTTAATTGGTATAAGATTTACCTCTGGAAGATTCATTTGAATTGAATGTTTCTGAAAAGTGATTATATAATTGCTCTACTATATAGTTCCTGGATCATGGGTTAGGTGTGAAAGACTCTTACCATCTTTTATAAATCAAGATGCTCCAAAAAAACAGATTCATTGATAGTACCAGATCAAAAATTTTGCTGAAATCACTAATTAGAAGAATTATTGGCGTTCAGAAAATGTCCTATGAAAATTTTCAAAATAAGAAGAAAAATTGAAAAAAAAAAGATAATATTTGGACTTATTTGACTTGAATACTAAGGTATCTAGATTTAGCAGTCGTTTTCTGTTCAAATTATTTCTAATAAATTTCAACACAATACATCTTAAATGTTTTTTTTTTTTTCAATATTTTTGTAGGATGAGTTATCAGTTCAGACTAAAGATCCATTTAATTTATCTAATGATGAATATTATAATCCTAAAATAATGGATAATGCCTTACGTTCTAATATTGGTGGTGTTCTGATACAGGTAAGAATTATTGTCATATATTGTATTATTTTTATTACTTTATAAACATATACTTCTAAATAGTCTTTAGATATTGAATTGATGATCAAAATACAGATTTTGTTTTATGTTTTTTCTGTGGTGATTCCATGTGCCATCCATGATCTGACAAATTGTTCTAGTTTACTAAAATATTGAAACCAATCAAATGGTTCAAAAACGGATCAATTAGTCTACATGAAAGGGATTCTTAGACATTCAGTGTTAAACTTTGACATGGCACTTCAATTTTGACACTGTTTTTGATTGGTTGGAATAAATCAGTCAACTTCTGACACTTATGGGTCAAAGTTCAGCTGAACACGATTTTAAGAAGAATTTTGTTAGATCATACTTAGTAAGTATAGTAAAGTTAAGAAAAACTACCATACAAAATATCTAGAAGTGCTTAATTTTTCACAGTTCATCTATTTTCTATGGAATCCCAAGAACCTGAGAACAAATCTTGTTATTTTATCTTTTGTAGCATTCAACACCAGCAGTAGAGTTACGGCAGCCATTTTTCCCTACCCACATGTCAGCTGTCAAACTACGTCAATTTCACCGACCTCCATTGAAAAAATATTCACATGGTCCAATGGCTGAAGGGGGTATTAGACCTGTATTACCGCTTCTCAAACAGATCAAACGTAAAGCAAAGGTCAGTAATTAAGCATTTTGTTGAAGACCCTGGCACACATTGCTTTGAAATTTCTTTATTGCAACCTCATGACATTTCTTGTCTTCATGGAACAACTCTACCGGGTTTCCCTCTGTCAGTGATCCAGAGCCAATGTTGAAGATCCTTTGACAGTTGAAAATTGAAAAGGGAAAGTTAATGCTCCTTCCCATTTTCCTCATTTCCAACATTATACTTAAAAGAGAAAATCTACAAAATAGTTATCTTAGGCCATTTAAGAAATAATACCACAGATTTGGTCAAAATGAAATGTATAACTGTTATTTAGATGTGTTATTAATTTGACTGTAGATGAGAGAACAAGAAAGACAAGCGTATGGTGGAGGTGAAATGTTTTTTATGAGAACACCACAAGATTTAACAGCTATGGATGGAGAAGTCATACTGTGTGAATTTTCCGAAGAATTCCCTCCTTTAATGATGCAAGTTGGCATGGCAACCAAAATGAAGAACTATTACAAAAGGGTAGGTAACTCAACTTTTACATATTGAGGGAAATATTTTTTCTGGACTAGCTCTTAATTGTTTCCACTTAGTTGTCTGGATGAGACAATAAATTGAGGTCCCATATGCTAAGGTTGTCATGTAATGGAGACTTTTGAATTGAACATGTCCATGTATACTACAGGCTGTGCATCAGAGAAAAAGTCAGAAGTCAGAAGTTGTAAGCTTTTGCTGCTGTCCTTGCAAAACATCTCTTGTACGCTACACTGAATTTCCTACCCTAATTGACAAAAACACACCTGTAGAACTGCTGCAACAGTTTTTCTTATCAGAATTAAGTCACCAATATTTTGAAATAAAAGGGATGAGCATGTGAATATTGCATATTTTGCATTGACAATCATCTTGTGTCCTCGTGTTATATTTTACACTATCAACGTAGCTGTGTTTTAGATATAAGATCCATTGTCAAGACAGTTGAATTTAAATTGGAATTTATTGCTCTTGTAGAAAATCATATTAACTGACCTAGGGCTGGGTGATATGCCGGTATCACGATAAATTCCGGTATCACGATAAATACCGGTATAGGAATTTATATTGTTAATAATATCACCTGTTTAAAAAATATCAAAATATCACCATATTGTAATATAGTCATCAAGATATATCGTTAAATTTTTGTCCATATAAGATCATCTACATAATTTTAACAAGTAACTTCATATTTGAAACAGATGTTTTTTTCATGATATTCAAGACTGGGGTGTTTTGAGAAATATTTATTGTTTTATGTTACATTTAAAATGTCCAGATCATAATTTTGTTTCTATTAATCTAATATTATATCGTGATATCAACTTGAACCAATATCTCCCAGCCCTAAACTGACCAACTCTTTCCATGTGCTACAGCCTCTTTGAAAGCCTGAAATTGAAAACGAGTAAGATTATCCACAAACTTTCCCTCATTGCACACCTTCATTAGCTCTATCTAAAAGGACTTGCACATACAACATCTTTTCATTTATGTTTTATTATTTTATGCATTATAGAAACCTGGTAAAGATTCCAATCCACCACAGTTCCCATATGGGGAGCTAGCCTACGCTCATACTTCTCCCTTTCTAGGTGCTATACAACCTGGTGTATGTATACAAGCATTGGAAAATAATATGTTCAGAGCACCAATATACCAACATGTCAAACCATCCACAGATTTTCTAGTCATTAGAAATAGGCAGAAGTAAGTCATACTCCTAGTTAGACCTAGTTTAGATTCAGAAAAATGAAATGATCAAAGCATTGTCTTGGGGGATTTTTGCAGCAATGGAACTTAAATGTTCTAATCGCTGGAATCAGATACACTTAAAGATGGGTTCCCGTATTTTCATTTATGATAATACTTATATGAATAGAAAGAAGAGGTGTTCTAATGACTTGGAAAAATATCAGTTTGTCTCACATGTCCATAATTTAGCTAAATTAGAAGAGAATTACCAACAGAATTCCAATTAGTGACCGATGAAGAAAGGTCAAAAAGTATTTTTTTTGTTTATCCAGACTGTACATACAAGGATATTTATGATTGGTTAAAACTCTTAATTATATGCAATATAAGACCATAATGATATGGTAATTCATTAGAAAAACCAATTAATCAAATAGTTTGTTTAATTTGACCCTAAAAAATAAGGGAACCCATCTTTAAAGGTTTCTCTTGTCCTGGCCCTTTTATCCAAAAGAATATGCATATATAACATTTATAATAAACTAATGCAACTTTGTTGTCAGAATTTCCTCTTTGCACACTGCATCCGATTGGATAATAAAACTAAATTTAAAATCAATTTTAGTGATTGACCAATCAGCATAACTTAAGTTCAGATGACTCTATCTTGAGTTTTCAAGAATAAGGCCCCTGGTAATATGCATTACCTATTGGAATATTGCTGAATAAATATATTGGTTCGAAATTTATCATGACTGGCTTTGTGTTCTTATCACTGTAACTATATTATTTTTTATTGCTTTACTGTAAACCAATCATTTTCTTTAGTTTTCATATAAGAGAAGTAGATGGACTATATTGTGTTGGTCAAGAATGTCCACTGTATGAAGTACCAGGTCCTAATTCTAAAAGAGCTAATAATTTTGTCAGAGATTTCCTACAGGTAGGTATAAACGACATTTAACAGAACACTACAATCATTATCTATACTGGAACCATTGTCCAAGCTCTCAAAATCTACAAATAAAATAAAATATCCTGAAAAATATTGACTAATACGAAATATGATTGAATGCAATATATATAATAATAACTCTGAAAAGACAAGTTGTAATATGATATATGTGATTTTTATACGCCCACATCTCTCTATCCATCCGTCGGTAGGTCCGTCCGTCGGTCAACGATTGCTTGTAGATTTTTTGATGGAATCAAATGAAATTCGGTATGTGTATACATATTCATAAAATGAAGATCAAGTTCGAATTTGAGCTATTTTCGACCCTTAGAAGCAGAGTTATTGCCCATGCCCCAAAATCTTGAATATGCTATTACTCTCTTAGTTTTCAACCGATCTTGATGAAACTTAAAATGGATGTTTCGTTTTTACCATCTGCATGCCGTGGTGGGCGTATATATGGCTGTGGTCCATTATCTTATTGTATTATTTACAGGTGTTTATATATCGTTTATTCTGGAAGAGTAGAGATAATCCTAAACGTATTAAAATGGAAGATATTAAAAGAGCTTTTCCTTCACATTCTGAAAGCAGTATTAGAAAAAGATTAAAATTATGTGCTGATTTTAAAAGGACAGGTGAAAAATGTTTAATATTTAGTTATCCTGAAAATAAAAATATTTGTTAATTTGACTTGATTTTTCTCAAATTTACATTAGTCTTTATCTGGCTCCATTATAGACAATACTTGGCAGCATTTATTGTGAGCTAAAGATGTATACTTCATTTTCACATCATGCCCAACACTGTAAATCTGTTAAAAATAAAACATTTTCAAGGTGAAAACAGATAAGGGATATCACACCAACTGTTGAGGCATTCTGCTTTTTTTGTAAAACATTTTCATTATCAAAAACGTAAATTATACCTGAAAATATTTCTAAAATATGCTATTTAGTTGTAATCTTTAGAAAATGTAGGAGACATATTTCTCTACAATTAGGCATTTATTTTACTTTAATCTGTACAGTAGTTTTCAAACAGCTTACAAAAAGCATAACAAACTTTAAAAGATTACATAACATTTTATATAAAGTTTTGGCATTAAAAAATTAAGGGCTGGATTTTTTTAGTTAAAACTTTCAGATACGTTATGGGATACATTTTTATAGATTTTACTTTATAGTTTTCACAAATTTGAGCAAAAGAATTTTTCAACCTACAAAAAAAGCGGAATGTCTCTTTAACAAGTTTTTTTTTTTTTTGTAGGTATGGACAGTAATTGGTGGGTTATTAAACCTGATTTTAGATTACCAACAGAAGAAGAAATTCGAGCTATGGTGTCTCCTGAACAATGTTGTTCTTATTATAGCTTGATAGCAGCTGAACAGAGACTCAAGGTTGGTTTAGAAAGATTTGGTCATCTAAATATCTCTTTGATTAGTCACCATGGATGTTTTTCTGACTTTTGCAATCATGAAAAACTTAGTTCTCTGCATGCAACTTAACATAACATAAAACTTAAGGAGTGGTCTACAGTTGTAGCTACATTCTTCTTCTGAAAAAAATTTGGTACATTCAATTAAAGCAAACAATCATTTTTGACAAAGGCAGATCATACCAATAATTGTGGAACACCTGGTGCTGTTTTATAGCTGAAATTTTCAACCTTGTATCTCTTTCACATCATCTTGTTGATTATTTTGATATTTGATAGTTGCTATAGGTATTAAGACATATGATGTTCTTAACAGGATGCTGGTTATGGTGAGAAATCTATGTTTGCTCCAGAAGAAGATAATGAAGAAGAAGCACAGATGAAGATTGATGATGAGGTAGTATTGGACTGTTTTGAGTACAATCAAGGATTTTTTGTTACAGCCGGTTAAGGCCAGGAATGCCCATCTAGTTTGGTTAAAAACAAAAACTCAGGTTTATTTGATTTTAATAGATGCTAGTCAAGTAATTTGAATATGTAGAAAAAATGAATTTGTTGTTTTATAATATGACAATTTTTTTCACTGATATTGTTAAAAACTTTTTATAAGACAGTGGACACTAACCACTACTATCAACTATATTATCAAATATCACAGTTATAAAGTTATAAATTAATATATATAGAAACTTTGAAGATAAAATGTTAATTTTTTATCCCATTACATTATATGTGTCGTATTGTTACACCTGTATGGAATCATGGCATGATTGACAATACCCAGCACTAGATGATTGTGAAAACTTAGTTAGTGGATTAATAGTGGATTATTACAATTCTAGAAAGGAGGGAAATGGCAGGTGTAGTCAACAACAGAAAAAAATACGAAAAAACTTGTAGATCTATATTTTCATCAGATTTAGGATTGATGGGTTGACACCCAAGACTGTTAGTTGGTAAAAAATGTTAAGAGGGGTCCTTGTCATTGACCAAGATTTCAATTTACTTAGGTGAGAACAGCACCCTGGAATACCACTAGAGCCTACATCTCGGCAGTGAAAGGAAAATGTCTGTTGAAGTTAACGGGTGTAGCAGATCCTACTGGTTGTGGTGAAGGCTTCTCATATGTCAAGGTTCCTAACAAACCTCAGCCAAAGGAACAAGAAGCTAAAGACACACCTGTTAAAAGAACTGTTACTGGTACAGATGCTGATCTGAGACGTCTGAATTTGAAGGATGCTAAGAATATGTTGAGAAAGTTTGGCTTGGCGGAGAGTGATATCAAGAAGTTGTCTCGATGGGAAGTTATTGATGTTGTAAGAACTATGTCAACTCAACAAGCTAAAGCTGGTACTGAAGCTGGAATGAGTAAATTCGCTCGTGGAAACCGCTTTTCTGTAGCTGAACATATGGAGAGATATAAAGAAGAATGTCAAAGAATATTTGATCTTCAGAACAGGTAGGTCTTTGAAATTGGAGACTGATTGGGTCTTTGGACATGTCTGTTAAAAGATGGTTTTCCTTATTTTTTAGTGTCAAATTAAGCAAACTATTTGATTAGTTGGTGTTTCTAATGAATTATCATATATTCTTAATCATATCATTATGTTCTTATTTCATATAATTAAGAGTTTTAACCAATCATAAATGTTCATGTATGCTAAATAGATTTGACTTTCATTTCAACCAATCACAAATGTCATGCAGAATCCATGTCTAGATATTGACTACGAATTGCGGGATAGCAAAACCAACAGTAGATCGATGTGACCGGCAGATACTTTCTTGTAAAGTGATTCTGATTGGCAGGAGAGTGGCACGTGATTGTCTGCTTTAAATAACTTGAAACCTCACCTAGGTACAAATCTCGTTAGATTACAATGGAGACTGACAAAATATAATAACAAAAGGAAATTGTGATCTAAATTTGATTAGATTGGCCAAGCATAGATTGGTTTCTGCTATGATAATAGTAGTTATCAATATTAACTATATGTATATTATAGAATACTAGGATCTAGTGAAGTACTATCTACCGATGATGAATGGTCGTCTGAAGATTCAGAATATGAAGAAATGAGTAAAAATATAGAGAGTATGTTGTCAAATAAAAAAACTAGTTCACAGGTATGATTACAGTTTGCGAACACTCTGAAAACGTTGGTCATTTGGTTTAAAATCAATGAAAACTTGATATATTAACAAAAAAAGATGCTTCTACAATTTGAACATTTTTTGAATTTGGGTGCCATGGCAACGCGCCTCAGCAAGGGAAAACTTATAGTACATGTAGGTTAACACTATCTAGCACATCTCAGCTTCACGCATTTGGAAGACCATTCTATCTTTACATGGACTGGCTTAAATTTAGTTATGACGAAGTATTATTATTTGTAGCTAAGTCGTGAAAGAGAAGAACAAGAAAGAAAAGAATTACGTCAGATGGTAATGGGTGGCTTCGAGAAAGAAAAAAATAAAAATGACAATCGAAAAGATGAAGATGACCCAATGCAAGGACTTGGAGAGGTAAGGATTCAAATTTTCTTCATTTTCAATGAGTTTAGTTTCTTTGCTCATATGCCTTAAATATTAAAATTTATCCCCATTTTCAAAAACTAGCTGTCCTGATGAGGATTATGTATCCAAAACATCAACATGAGATGAGTTCTGGTAAATGGATCGATTCAAAATATTCAAAAATATTTTCTTTGACAAAGATATATCCCATTCTTTTAAGCATGAAATAATTTTAGTTCAGACAATTATATCAAATGGAATTTTTGTAAAATTTGTCTAAAAATTGAAACAGGGAGGACTGAAGTTAAAAATAACTAGAACATTTAAAGATGAAACTGGTAAAGAATATACACGTACAGAGATAGTTCGTAAACCATTAGTTATAGAAACATACGCTAGAATACGTCAAACTAAAGATCCTATGTTCATGTAAGTAATCTTCCATTATTACTGGATTGATTGAATTTATTACTAATTTATTTATACAAAGTTTCATATTTGGCCACGTATTCTCTAAACAATCTTAGCGCTAGGATGTCCTAGAATCAATGTTGAACTAGAAGATAGGAACCTAGGACATCCTAGCGCTAAGATTGTTTCGAGAATACGTGGCCTGGTTCCCAACCTGGGGTGTTTTCATCCGCTGGGGGTGTGGGACTAGGGTGTCAGGGGTGTGATCGACTGGTGTAGTAGAAGAATTTATTTTGAATTGAGGGAGCATCTCACATCATCAAATGCTGAAAATGTGGATGAAACAAATTTTTGGGGGTGTGAAAGGTCCAGGTGATTGCTCCAGGGGTGTGAAGGCTGAAATAGGTTGGGAACCACTGATATAATGACAACAATTTTTTTCCAGTTTATTGATTAAATCGATGAGTCTAGGGCACCAAGAAACTCACCCAAATGAAGTTGTTTTTATTGTCAATAAAATTGTATGAAATATAATAGAAACATAGTTATCTCTTTGGGTGAATAGGTATCGTAAATCTACAATGTTTTAACATGTAGTTCCTCAATTATTAACATTCTAATAATATAATATTTCCTATTTATGAACAATAAAGTATTCTGAAAAAAATAGAAAAAAAAAAGAACATTCTAATAATGACAAAAATAAAACTAGTGGTTAAATGAATGATGACATGTGGTATTATATAATTTTACAGAAAACAGTTTGCTGCTCTAGATGATCAGTTGAAAGATGAGATGAGAAAGGAAAGAAGAAGGTTCGTTTTTACAGTTCATCTCCATACAATAGTTTGTGAGCCACATTAGTTAAGCAAGTTACAGATTGTGTTAAGAGTTTGATCATAGTTGGAGATAGTACCTTACTTTCACCCTATGTTAGTGATACAGTTCAGAGGGGCTGACATTGAAAATGTGTCTAGCTTTGATGGGAAAACAGTTATTGCCATGTCTGTCTAAATTTACCTCATTGTTCACTGCATTGAGTGTTTTGGGTTTTTTTTTTACATAATTTGTTAGAGATTATTCTCATTCTTAATATTATTCCCTTTATGCTTAGAATTCAGGAACAGCTGAGAAGAATCAAAAGAAACCAAGAAAAGCCACAAATGCCTTCTCAACCTCCTAAAAAGAAGAAGAAAAAGGAGACCCTGTCTTCGAAGGTAGAACATGAATGTATTATCTTCTTGAAAAGAAATCATTCAACAAGATTTGAATACAAGATGATAGTTTTCTTATAAAGCTTAATTTCAGCTATCTGGAGCACTCTCTCAACTTGACCTAGTTCCAGCAGTACGCATCCATGGTCAATTGCAACACATGCTATCATCGGTCGTTATGCAGTGTTATTTCATTATGTACTTGTTACAAAGATTATACTAGGTCATTAAAAGATTATACTAGGTCGTTACAAAGATTATATTAGGTCGTTACAAAGATTATGCTAGGTTGTTACAAAGATTATACTAGGTTGTTACAAAGATTATACTAGGTTGCTGTCAGATGTGAGGGAAACTAGAGAAAAACTCCCTACAAAAACATGTCCAAAATAAATGCTGTGACTTGATGAAAAGTGGTGGCAATGGTAACAGTTACATGACTTGTGGCGTGCCCTACACAGTTATAGCACTCATGTGGCACGCTCTGAGACAATTTTCTGTCGCAGTAGCAGCGCTGTTAGAATGCTTTTCCAGTGTTACAGGGCCAAAAGAGAACAGTATTTTGTTGGTAGAGTTGTATCGTTTCAGATGAAATGTGGTGCATGTGGTGCTGTCGGTCATATGAGAACCAACAAGGAGTGTCCTATGTATGCTAATTTAGCAGGCAAGATAGCACCAGTTCAAGTTGCTATGACTGAAGAGCAAGAAGAAGAAGAAGAGAAAAATCTTCCCATAGCAGATCAAGAGCTCATCAATGTGGAAGGCACCAAGATTAAACTTTCCAAAAATCTTTTGGCTCAGTATGTATTACTCATATGTTACCCATGATAAAGTTGTTGATTTTGCTAATAGGCTTGGCACATACAAGTGTCAAACTCATTTGATAAAAATTAACATTCCTGAATTGATAAGAGCTAATCATATGATTTTGACCATGTTGCAGATATGAAATCCTTTATCAGGATTGTTATGTTGAACTTATTAATATTTTTCTGACCATGCCTGGTTGACATCCATCAATCTAACTGATTTTCTTCCAGTGCTGAGAGTTTAAAGAGAAAGTCTTTGTTATTAAAGTTCCCGAAACAAGCTGTTGAAAATAAAAAGAAAAGAAGAATTGGTACAGTTATTCACTGTGATTATTTAAAGGTAATTCAAGCACTTACGATTTCTAAGAGGTGGTACTTCTTTAAAGTTGTCAAATATCGTCAGATAATCATTTGTATTTATTTAGTATATCATTGCATTCCATAATTTGAATTCTTTGAAATAAGGGTCTTTAAGAATGGCTAGCTTGACGTATGGCTAGCTTGACGAATGGCTAGCTAAATTATTGCAGGAAACGCGTATTGGCGACACTGATTGCATCAATTTGCACCATTCTAATTTTCATACTGACGTCTGTGGTTCTTGCAATTCCACTAAAACTAACACATTTTATGACGTCACAAGAGGGAAACTGCATAGATATCAGTAGTAGCTTCTGGTAGCTCCCCTCTAGTGACGCCATAAAACCCGTTAGTTTTAGTGGAATTACAAGAACCACAGGCGTTGAAATGAAATTAGAATGGTGCAAATTGAAGTGTCCCCGATACACATAAAAAAAATTAGAATAATCCCTTTAAGAGTAATATGGCCACTTTGCAATCTGTTCTTAATCTAACAAAATAATCAAACTTTATCTCATGAAAACCTCCAATAAGAGAATTTGAAATGTTATTTCAGAAACCTAAACAATCATCTAACAGAAGAAGAACAGATCCTCTAGTGACCCTTTCAACTATATTTGAAAATGTTTTAAATGAACTAAGAGCTATACCTAATGTAAGTTGAAGTTTTAAAACAATTTAGTATATATAAATCCTCAAAATTTAGTAAGAAAACTATCAGAGTTTTAGAGATCCACTACATACTATGATATCTTTTACATAGATGTCAATTAAAAAAGGTCATCATAAATTATTTTAATAAATCCATAGGGAGTCATGGTGGCTCAGTGACTTAAACGCTTGCTAGCTAACCTGAAGGTGCAGGGTTCAATCCCCGCAAAGGTCGAGATAACACCAGTTTCCTCCTGTCAGTGATGCAGGTGAGAGGGGCTGATCACATAGAAAAAGCATCTAGTCGTTCGGATGGGACAATAAACCGAGACCCCGTGTGCTACAGACTGCATGTTTAAGATCCCTCGACAATTGGAAATCAAAAAAGAGCTGGCTAATGCCGCTGTCCCGGCAAAATTTCCCTCATTGCACCCTGCATGGCGTTGCTTGTCTTCATTAGCCCACATGGTGCAGAAAAGTAGGACATAAAACTCCATTCATTTCATTTGTAATAAATCCACAAATACTGATGAGTCAAAAAAAAAACATTCCATTCATTCCAAATCATAAATATATCAGTTTAATTGAAATATATATTAATGTAATTTTGACAATTCCAGACTCAACCGTTTCTATTTCCTGTTAATCCCAAAGAAGTACCTGATTATTATAAAGTGGTGAGAAAACCTATTGATTTACAATCAATTAGAGAGGTGGGTACAAGATAGACTTTCTTTGAAGTACAAATTTACATTTATCTATAGGGCTAGGCGATATTGGTTCAAGTTGATATCTCTAAAAACACCCCAGTCTTTAATATCATGAAAAAAACATCTGTTATTTATCGTTATATCACCCAGCCCTATTTATCTATATATATACATTAAGTTGTAGTACATCTCATTAAGTCAGATGGTTTATCATGAGAGTATAGAAATTAAACTTGTATTTGTTATAGTGCAGTTTAACTCTATCGTAGATGAAACACGTGTCAGATTTCATTTTAAAACGTAAAACAAATAGCCCATACAGAGCTCTTTTGGTTGCTAAAAAAAAAAAAAAAATATAAATGTCTATTAATTATACTGTAATAGCTATGAATACTATTTTGTTTTGTAGAATTTGAGGAATAAAAAATATCGTTCTAGAGAAGAATTTTTAGCAGATATTAACCAGATTGTAGAGAACAGTAAAATGTACAATGGTGAGTGTTTCATATGGCTCTATTTAGTTACATGTATCAACCATTTATTTGTCACTATCCCCTTTTACACTTATCAAATTCTGATGGGTGAATCCATATAACAGCATGATTTGATATTTACAAAGGAGAAAAGTCGTCCCAGCTCAGATCTGTCTGTTCTACTCACAGTGTAAATGGTAAAGCCAACCAGACCCAGTTTACCTGAATTTTGACTGCAGACTTTTTCTACACTGTTTGTTCACGAGCAAACATTTTATTCTAGTTAGTAAGTTAGTATTTTCTTGTTTTGTATAGGTCCTAGACATACTTTAACAGTCACTTCACAAATGATGGTAGATCATGTTTTAAAAAGATATGCAGAGGTAAACTTTCAAGTTATTTTTATTTTGTCAGATAGACTCTGTGGTTCTTGTAGTTTCACCAAAACTAAGTGTTTTTATGACATTTTTGTCGCAAAAGCTGCTGCTAATGATATCTTAGTGCCTTTGTGATACGAAGTCATAGAACGCTTTGGTTTAGTGGAATTGAAAGACTCACAGATGTCTGACTGAGAATTGTACTGGTGCAGTATCCCCAATACATACAAATGATATAATTCTAGTAATATGAATGGTTGATGATTTAATTCACACAACTTAAAGTAGGAATGCAGTCAATCTAGTGGACAGGATTTTTAAGATGTCAAAATCCAAAATAGGTCCATACATGAAAAAATTCCATATAATTTCATGTTGTTTCCATTATAGAAAGAACAGAAGTTGATGAGATTAGAAGCTGCTATTAATCCTCTATTAGACGTCAATGATCAGAAAGCATTATCTTATATCTTCTCACATATAGTGGAACTATTTAAACATGTTGAAAATGTAAGTAATCTTCTCACATTGTCATATAGTGGACCTATTTAAACATGTTGAAAATGTAAGTAATCTTCTCACATATAGTGGAACTATTTAAACATGTTGAAAATGTAAGTAATCTTCTCACATTGTCATATAGTGGAACTATTTAAACATGTTGAAAATGTAAGTAATCTTCTCATATTGTCATATAGTGGACCTATTTAAACATGTTGAAAATGTAAGTAATCTGCTCACAAATAGTGGAACTATTTAAACATGTTGAAAAAGTAAGTTATCTGCTCACATATAGTGGAACTATTTAAACATGTTGAAAATGTAAGTAATCTGCTCACATATAGTGGAACTATTTAAACATGTTGAAAATGTAAGTAATCTGCTCACATATAGTGAAACTATTTAAACATGTTGAGAATGTAAGTAATCTGCTCACATTGTCATATAGTGGAACTATTTAAACATGTTGAAAATGTAAGTAATCTGCTCACATATAGTGGAACTATTTAAACATGTTGAAAATGTAAGTAATCTCCTCACATTGTCATATAGTGGAACTATTTAAACATGTTAAAAATGTAAGTAATCTGCTCACATATAGTGAAACTATTTAAACATGTTGAGAATGTAAGTAATCTTCTCTCATATAGTGAAACTATTTAAACATGTTGAGAATGTAAGTAATCTTCTCTCATATAGTGAAACTATTTAAACATGTTGAAAATGTAAGTAATCTGCTCACATATAGTGAAACTATTTAAACATGTTGAGAATGTAAGTAATCTGCTCACATATAGTGGAACTATTTAAACATGTTGAAAATGTAAGTAATCTCCTCACATTGTCATATAGTGGAACTATTTAAACATTTTGAAAATGTAAGTAATCTTCTCACATATAGTGGAACTATTTAAAAATCTTGAAAATATAAGTAATCTTCTCACATATAGTGGAATTATTTAATCATGTTGAAAATGTAAATAATCTTCTCATATATAGTGGAACTATTTAAACATGTTGAAAATGTAAGTAATCTTCACACAGTGTTGAAAATGTAAGTAATCTTCTCACCTAAAGTGGAACTAATTAAACATATTGAAAATGTAAGTAATCTTCTCTCATATTGTCCAACTTTTTTTCTTCTCACATATAGTATTCATTTCAAATTCATAGACTCCTCAATTTCACGATATATTTTCAGTCTTGGCCATTCCATAATCCAGTGAATAAAAAACAGATTAAAGATTATTATGATGTGGTAAAAAGACCAATGGATTTCAATACATTACATAAGGTAATCATATTTTAAATAGAATTATATTCCAGCCTAGTCAAATAGACACAGTTTGTGTTGGTGACAATATTTCAGCCAATTTCGATCCCATAATAAATAAAATATTCCCATATAGACACTACAGATGTTATGATGTTACAAGTAATACATGTCAAACTGTAAGTGGTCTATTGATGGGTTTTGACTAGCAGCTATTGCATGAGAAGGAAAGAATAGCTAAAAAATATTTGCCTCCTGAATTGATTGTGGTTTGAAGCTTGATATTTGCTGATTTTTAAAAGGAATTTATGTCCCATTTATCAGTAAGTTTTAGAGCTGAAAGCATGCCACAATATAATCCATTAAAACAATTCCACCAGGAATTAGAAATCATTATGTGATTACATTTACTACTTGTAAAGGGACAGGTAGGCCAGTTTTTTCACCAGTCACTTTAATCTCAGAAACAGGAATTTTTTAGCTAAGCCAATCAGTTATAGTGTTCAAAGCTCATTGTCGAAATTTGAGCCTTCAAATCCACATGTATTCAGAATTTAACTTGTCAATTCAAGATACACGGCCTTATATATGGAAATAGTGAGTAAAATTCCTAGTTTGAAGTATTTTAAAGGAATTGTGCGATTTTCATACATTTCTAATACTTCTGAAGACTATTTACATATATTCAAGATTAAAATCACCAACCAATAAAAGCTGCATCTGTCCCTTTAAGATACTTTGAATGGTTAACAATCATTGTTGGATATCTAAATCTGTAAATTGTATTAAAAAATGACAGAACTGTTTGTGCTGATCTAAATAATTTTAGATGTAAATTTTTATGTAATTTTATGTAAAACAATGGTCACATGGGGTTTTTCAATTACACAAGGAGCTTGTTGTAGTCATTTCAATATTGAATCTTGAATGCAATGTTGTAGACTCAAAGACACAGAGTGCAATTTGACCATTGTATTGTATGAAAATTACATCATTAGAACAAGACTGTCATAGAAAATTTGTGAGATTACAATGGAGATGAGAAATATCAGAAAAAAAACTGAAACGAAATTGTAATCTCATGTTAATTAGATTGATGTTTTGACTAACCTGTGTCAATAATCTTTATAAATAGTTAGTTATCAGTATATTTGATTTATTATGATAATGATTATGTACAATCAAATTTCAATCATTTCTCTCTTCATGATCATTTTTCAATCCATCATCATGTTTCAATCCATCATCATTTCTCAATCCATCATCATTGACTTGAAAAATAGTTCCTAGAACTTCACTATGTCAGTAATTTGAAACTCTGTTAATAATCTTTGAGAATGTAAAAAAAGTGTCAGTTAATCTCAAGATAATCTTCCAATTTCCGTCTTGTCACTTTTACTTCCTACTCTTAATTTCTCATTTTTCATCCTCAACTTTTTTACTCTTTAATTCAGACAAGAAGTCAACATACTCTGTCATTATTTCCTTTTGAGTCTTTTTTTATTTTTTTCGTCAGGGAATAAAACTGTTTCTCTTCTAGAGGACATAAATTTTTTTTAGCAATGATAATGATAATAATTTTTTTTAGCAATAATTTAGCAATAATAATAATAATAATTTTTTGTAGCAATAATAATAATAATAATTCTTTTTAGCAATAATAATAATAATAATTTTAATAAGCAATAATAATAATAATCATTTTTTTTAGCAATGATAATACTACTAATTTATTTATTAAAGTGACACACAGCATAAAACATTTAAATATGCCAATATAACAAGGTAAAAAAGAAATGCTGCCCAGCCAGATTGGCTTATGAGACACTGGTCTAATTCATACTCAAAAGAGTAACATAACATAAACATCTGATATATAAACATATAAAATTAAATATTACAGTTAAGAACATCAACTTACTGTTAAAACTAATTAAAGAAATACAAACTAGAGTACAATATTACTACAGAAACTGCAAAGAAACATAAATGGATCAGATAATGATAAAATGCATTAAGGAGTAATACTCAGGAATGGAAAATAATACTTTTGTTACACATTAAAAATTAAGGTGTTCCACATCTGTTACAAAATTAAAATCTTGGTTTAAAACGTGAAAAGATCATATCTAAGATCATCATAAAATGGACATGTTAAAAGAAAATGCTGTTCGTCTTCAACCTTTCTAAGTTGACACATAGTGCACACTCTCTTGTTCAGAGGGGTTGGAGGGTTGCCGAATCTACTGGTTTCAATTGCTAAGGGGTGACTACCGCAGCGAAATGCCGCCATTACCTTACAGTTACTTTTATGAACAGTGTTGGTGACATAAGGTTCTGTATAAATGGAATGTTTAATTCTGAATTACGTGTATTTTGTTAAAATCTTGGTTTTTCATTCTTTAAAAAATTAAGCCTCGTTTAACAATATGAGTGCTCTGACCTATTCAACCAATAACTCGTATTATAGTACAGTATACAAGGTTTTTTGTTTTCATCAGCAGAAAAAGGAACATTGAACCCTGTATAATATAATATTTTAAATCTGACTGTTTTTATTTTTGTTTTGATCACAAGATCCACGCTTTTACCAGCTTTCAAACAGTACCAAAAAGTCAAAATGACCAAGTATGGAATATACAGGGTTTATACGATATATAATTAAGTTCACTGGCAATAGCTAAAATGTTGCAAGAAAAATTGTGAGAAATTTTATAAATGAATTATAGTCTTCAATAATCTTATTAAAATGATATTCGACTTCCTTATTTTCTATCTGATATTTTTGTCTTCATTGTAATCTGACACGTTTTCTACCACACTCCTCTTCAAATGTCATTATTTCTAACCAATCAAAGTATATCATGTAGGACTTGTTTCTTGATAAAAATGATGAATTGTGGAAGAGCGAATGAAAAGAGGCTGATATCTTGCCATCGTAGAGGGTTTGGCTGTCCCACAATTTGTCATTGTTAGCAAGAAACGGGCTCTGTGACATGTTTTGATGAAAGATAATGTCATAGTAGTGATTAATTCATCGATTTAATTTTTTTTACGTTAATTTGTTTGAAAATTGTTGCTGGAAGTAAACATCAAACTGTTGAAGAAGCTAAAAACCATTTAATTTGATAGCTAGGAGGCGGCTATAGCGTCAAGTCAAATCTTATTTTATAAGAGCCACTTCTGAAAAAATCAAAAACTTGAGTTAGGATTTTTTTAGAAATCTGATTTAGGAATTCATTAAAGATGGGTTCCCTTATTATTATTTATGAAAATCAAAATGCTTAAACTTACATAAATAGAAAGCAGAGGTGTTCTAATGACTCGGAAAAATACCAGTTTGTGTCAGATGTCCAAAATTAACTCATAATTAGCTAAATTAGAAGAGAATTACCAGCAGAATTTCAATGAGTGACCAATTAAGAAAGGTCAAAAAGTCTTCTTGTTTATCCAGACTGTACATAGATGAACATTTATCATTGGTTAAAACACTTAATTATATGCAATAAAAAAATAATGATATGATTAAGAATAAATGATAATTAATTAGAAACACCAATTAATTAAATAGTTTGCATAATTTGACACTAACAAAATAAGGAAACCCACCTTTAATGTTACTATTCAATAAATTTCTGAAGAGTTTACAAAAATTGTGAACATCTCTTGATCAACGATTCCTCATGTGTTTGTATCTTCAGGCATTTTAAAGTAAATAAATTAAGAAAAAATGGAATGAAATGACTAATTCTTGTTAAATCGTATTATGTCTTATTTGTTTGTAAGAGGATTCAACATGCTTTAAGAGATGTTTTCATAGTAAGCGGGAATTGCTACAAATTCTGTATTTTATATTATGGGCTGGAGTGTTTTATTGTGGTTTATGAGATCTGGAGTAAAGCTCTAAAGCTATAGTGCAGTTTACTTTTGTCTTGGTGCGAAATTGAGAGGAACCTTTGTTGTTCATTCAGATATTTTCAAAATTGCAGTATTTTCACAAATTTGTGAAATAATCAATATTTATAAGAAATAAAAGGTGAATATATATTGTAAGGATACCTTAGAAACGGGATTTTTTAGCTAAGCTAATCAGTGATAGTGTTCACAACTCACCATCGAAATTTGAGCCTTCAAAGGCCTGCATAAATATCCATGCTTGACAAGATTTATCATACAGTGATTAAGGGAGCCGCGGTGGCTCAGTGAGTTAGACGCTTACTTGCTAACCTGAAGGTCCAGGGTTCAATCCCGGCATAGGTCGAGATAATACCTTCAGATTTTTCAACCTGGTTTCCCCTTGTCAGTGATGCAGGTAAGAGGGGCTGACATAGAAAAAGCGTCTAGTCGTTCGGATGGGACAATAAACCGAGACCCTGTGTGCTACAGGCTGTGCGCATTAAAGATCCCTCGACAGTTGGAAATCGAAAAAAAAACAGGCTAATTCTGCTGTCCGGACAAAATTTCCTTCATTGTACCCTGCATGGCGTTGCCCGTCTTCATTAGCCCACGTGGTGCTGAAAAGTAGGACATAAAACTCCATCCATTTCATTTTCATTTCAAACAGTGATTAAGGTGCTAAAATTTATCACACAGTTCTATCATTGTTACAATATTAGTATGTTGAAGTATCATGTATTTTTATAATATTTGTGATGTTGAATAAATATGTACGGTATATTGTAATGTCTTAATGCGTTTTTTTTGTAAACAATATGTTATATTCACTTATACACATGAAATAGGTTAATGTACACTTGTTTTTTTTAAAGAAGACATTTTCACAAGTTATATACAAAGAAATAAAATAATTCTCTATTTCAGAATTGTGATAGACATAAATATCACAGTCGTGAAGAGTTTATAGAAGATGTAGAATTAATTTATACCAATAGTCTACAATATAATGGTGCTAACAGTTCCTATACAGCAGCTGGTAGAAAGGTGGTAGAGATGTGTAAGGAACATCTTCAAGAGGTAATGAACCAGGGGACCTTACCTTTATGTTTTCTAAAATAGACAACATTATTGTCAAATTGATAAGAATATATCTCATACTGCCTAAACTTGTTGGAATTATAAAATTTTTATCATGAAAACTTTATATTAGAACATGCACTAAATGTAGTCGTAAAACGCTAATTTTTCAACAACAACAAAATTTCTGAAACTCAAAAAGGTTTACCAAATGAATTTTCTTGAAGATTGCACTGGCTATTTGTATCGTCACGATGCATGTTCTCTATGGCTGGTAACAATGGTATGGATAAGATAGGACACAAAAGGTGTGCTAGTTTTTTTTTTTTTTTTTTTTTTTTTTTGAAAGCGTGAAGCCATTTTGATTGTCAAGAATGATGTTAAGTGACTTTGTTAAGGTTAGGTAGGGATGGCCATATTATTTTTTAATGGTTATTTTTGAACCGTCGCAGCACGAATAGCCACGACCTCTGAAGAATTTCTTTGACATAAAATTTATGAGTGATCGGACAAAGAGAGGAAACCAAAAATTAGAGTGTGGTTATAGAAATTATAGAAAATTCCATTGCCTTACATACTTGGTTTTTAGACTGTACCTTTTTAGAGAACAAAATATTTTGTTTTATATTGTTTCATATTGTTTTATATTGTTTCCAGCAAGATGAACATATTTCATCATTAGAACAAGCTATTAAAGGCCATCAGTTGGCAGAGATGGATTATGCTGACACAGACAGTATCATCACTGGTTCATTAAATCCTGATGACAACAGTATTGTGGGTGAGTTTTACAACCAGTTCAACACATCTTGTATCACTTTCAGAATGAACTTTTGACTTACAGTTCTCCTGCAATTAAATGAAACATAACATAATCTATATGACAAGAGCTCATGCCGTTTAAGATCATATGTATAAGTAAATTACCCAACTGAGCAGAGAATATTCTAAAATGTAAAGAAGGATAATTGGAATGGTGCAAATTGATGCTATCAGTATCCGTGATGCACATAATTTTTTGTTAGAAAATAAATGTGATATCCATTGTGTATTTAAGATAATGAAAGTTTAGATGGAGGAGAGAATAATGATGAGGAATATTTTGGAGGTCAAAGTACATCTAGACAGGTAACTTTTACACTTTACTTTCATAGCATCGCTTTATTTAAAAACTGGAAGTATTGATCAAGATGACCTATCACCCTATGACTGATTTACAGGTCATTAACTTTGATTGGTTGAGAACTTAATAATAATGATAATAAACTCTTTATTGTACATGGGTCAGAATTAGGCCCAATACACAAGGACATGGTCCTGCCTAACATTCAACAAATGGGGACAATATGATAAATGAAAAAAACAATACCTTGATAGACAACCTGTTTACGAATACACAAGTACATGTGTATTAAATGGACTAATCAAATTTATGACAATGAAATATTGATTAAAAGTGTTTCTGAAGCTATCCTTGTTATTGCATGCTCTACTATGGCTGAAGAAAATCAGCGTGCTGATTAGATGTCTGCTTTTTCACACCCTTGTAGATATAAGGTTCATATTCACATAGCTTAGAATAGAGCAAGTGTATTATTTAATACTTGAATAATATACTCATATATTCATAAGCAGACTAATGCCGCTGTCCTGGCAAAATTTCCCTCATTGCACCCTGCATGGTGTTGCCCGTCTTCATTAGTGCACATGGTGCAGAAAAGTAGGACATAAAACTCATTAACCTATTCATTAATAAAGAGCTCATGGATTTTGATGATTCTTGGGCTACAGATTGTTAAATTTGGGGACTCAACTGAGTATTTCTCTTTCCAAATTGTTTCAGCTAATAACATAATAATATATTTGAATAGTCTGATATCATAGTTAGTTTTGTGTTGAATTGTAAACCAGTGATAGGCAAAGGTTGTCTCAAAGATTGCTAAAAGGTTAACGAGTGCATAGAGCTAATCATAACATTTTTGTAATTTTAATCTGATTCTGATTCTTTTACACTAAAGAGAATTGCACTATATAAGAGTCTTGTTACATTCATGGCATCATTAGTCTTCTCTTTATCATGAATAAAGTGCAGATTGCAGATATTATGACGTCATTAGAAATAAATTCGTAAATTACTTCCTGGAAGTCACAATCGTTTAAAGGGACAGATTTGAGTCAGGAATATATATAAATAGTCTTCAGAGGTACTAAAGAAATGTACGAAAATTGCATAATCCCTTAAAAATATCTCGAACTAGGAATTTCTTTACCTGTTTCTATAGATTTCTTGTATATTTATGGCAGTGTCTCAAAAAAGATGACTCGTCTTTTTAACTTTCAAACGCTGATAATTCTGGATTCATATATTGATTTAAAGGCTAAAATTTTGACAGTGAGCTGGGAACACTATTAATGGGTTTGTGAGACTAAGCCACGATTAGTAAAAAATAAATGGCACGTCTGTCCCTGCTATATTTAGATGACTGAAGTGCTTTAAATGATTGGAAAATGGGGGGAACCTATATTTAATGCTGAAATAATAAATCGTTCAGATATAACATTATGTAAGAAAGTTTGTCATAAAGTAGCCTTATTTATTCTTACAAAACAACCTGATAAATTATAGAGTTAACTATTTTTTCACACTGTGAAAAGTCCAGTATATGTTAAGGTATAAAAAAGAAGACATTGTAGAAAGGTTATAATCTATTTTAAAGGCAATGGAAAGTATGTGCCATAAAAAAAAAACATGTGAAAGAAATTTCAACAAAGTATGGGTTTTTGTTAACATTAGGAAGCCATTTTTGATATTTAAGAAATGTCAATAATATTCCATCCTGAAAATGGTTTGATTTTCAAAAAAATGTTACTGATAGTTTCGAAAAATCACCTTAAAAGTGACACACTGCTACTTTGATACCCCCCAATATTTCAGAGTCGAGAAGATTCTGATTCTGAATTTATAGATATAGAAAATGATGAGAATGATAATACTATGAACTATAGCCAGGTAATATCAGGCACAAGTTGGTTACAGCACTGTTGTACAACTAGCACCAACATTGATAGCATCACTTTATCACAACATGAGGACAAATGCACAACGAAGTTATAATTACCATTTTGGTTTCTTGCACAAGGGACAAAAATTAATTTGTTTCTTTAAGTGATTAACTGGTCTAATAACAGATACAACTTAATTGCAGCTATACATATCACTTTCCAGAATGACCTCTAGACTTTAAGTTCAATTACAATTAGATAAGGTTGTATGCTGTTACGTTTCACTTAAAGTATTAGACCCTTGCATTTGTGTCTGGATAATTGTGCCTGCTTATTTAATTGTCAATTGTTCCCTAGAGGGTTATTATATATTGTGTATTCAGGGTGAGTGTGATTTCTGAACTTTGTGAAATAAATCTATGGAGTGAATTTTTTATATTTTTATGAAGAAGAACCCCTATTTTAACCTTTTCACATCACAATGCTTTTATATACATAAAATATAAATTATAAGCAATTCTTGTCTTTGTATGGATTGTTATGTTGTATAATAACAGTCTGGAATCTTAAACTAAAATATAATTGTCATTCTGAAAACTGATATGAGTAGATGGACCGTGTTTAAATAAAGCAAATATTGAGACATTTATTATCCAATAAAGCACACTGTTTTATTAACAACAAAGTTAAATTTTATCAAAATGATAATTTGAGCTTATATGCACAAATTTTGTCAACACAAATATATTAATAACAACACTTTGCATATTCATACCAAATTTAACTTAAATGACTGCAATTTTTATGTTTATGGGGGTAATAATCAGAAATTTCCGTTTTTCTGTGATATTAAATATTCAAAAATTCTGAAATGCTGAATAAGAAGCAGTTTAGTTTATCTGTGGTATTAAATAATAAAATTTCAGTTTTTCTGTGACATTGAATATGGATGCTTAATAATCAGGAATTTTAATTTACCTGTGATATGAAATAATTTATGATAAATTTATTGAATATTCTGAATTTGCAGTGAATGTCAATTTTATGTGAATTGTTCAGGAACTGATTAGAAAATTTAGTTTATCTGTGATGTGGAATAACCAGATTTGTTTTTCTCATATTGAATGATGGATAAGCAGTTTTAGCAGTGATATTAAGTTATTAGTTTATCTATGATATTGAATAATAATAAATTTCAATTTGTCTGTGATATTGAATAATAATAAATTTCAGTTTATCTGTGATATTGAATAATAATAAATTTCAATTTGTCTGTGATATTGAATAATTATAAATTTCAATTTGTCTGTGATATTGAATAATTATAAATTTCAATTTGTCTGTGATATTGAATAATTATAAATTTCAATTTGTCTGTGATATTGAATAATTATAAATTTCAATTTCTCTATGATATTGAATAATTATAAATTTCAGTTTATCTGTGATACTGAATAATTATAAATTTCAATTTATCTGTGATATTGAATAATAATAAATTTCAATTTGTCTGTGATATTGAATAATTATAAATTTTAGTTTATCTATGATATTGAATAATTATAAATTTCAGTTTATCTGTGATACTGAATAATTATAAATTTCAGTTTATCTGTGATATTGAATAATTATAAATTTTAGTTTATCTATGATATTGAATAATTATAAATTTTAGTTTATCTGTGATACTGAATAATTATAAATTTCAGTTTATCTGTGATATTGAATAATTATAAATTTCAGTTTATCTGTGATATTGAATGATTATAAATTTCAGTTTATCTGTGATACTGAATTATTACAAATTTCAGTTTATATGTGGTATTGAATAATCAGAAGTTTCAGTTTATCTGTGATATTGAATAATGATAAATTTCAGTTTATCTATGATATTGAATAATAATAAATTTCAGTTTATCTATGATATTGAATAATCAGAAGTTTCAGTTTATCTGTGGTATTGAATAATGATAAATTTCAGTTTATCTATGATATTGAATAATAATAAATTTCAGTTTATCTAAGATATTGAATAATAA